AAGGAACATTGAAGGAACATCTAAAGGAAACCAGCTGGTTGTGAAACCTTACAAGTATCAAAGTTCTCATCCCATTGAGAACATAATTACTGATCCAACCTCTGGAATCAAAATCAGATCTTCTTTGAAGAATCTTTGTGTTTTTGATGCCTTTTTATCTCTTATTGAACCTAAAAACATTGCTGAGGCTTTGCAGAATACAAACTGGGTGAATGCAATGTAAGATGAACTCAACCAATTTGAGAGAAGTCAAGTTTGGCATCTGGTACCAAGACCCAAGGACAGATCAGTAGTTGGCACGAAGTGGGTCTTCAGAAACAAACTTGATGCAGATGGAACAGTTACAAGGAACAATGAAAGATTGGTGGTTCAAGGATATAGTCAAGAGGAGTGCATAGACTATGATGAGACCTTTGCTCCAGTTGCAAGATTGGAAACAATTAGACTCCTTATAGCATTTGCTGCTTACATGGAATTCACTCTCCATCAGATGAATATCAAGAGTGCCTTCCTCAATGGCTATCTAAAGGAAGAAGTGTTTGTCAAGCAACCTCCGAGCTTTGAAAGTAAGAAATGTCCTGATCATGTGTACAAGCTTGACAAGTCACTTTATGGGCTCAAGCAGGCTCCAAGAGCTTGGTATGAAAGATTATAAAAATTCTTGCTTGAGCATGAATACAAGAGAGGTAAAATTGACAATACTTTATTATTGAAAGAAAAAGGTAAAGATCTCTTGGTAGTTCAGATATATGTTGATGATATAATCTTTGGTGCAACTACTGATAAGTTAAGTAAAGAATTTGCTAAACTAATGGGGAGTGAATTTGAAATGAGTATGATGGGTGAGCTTAATTTCTTTTTAGGTTTACAAATTAAACAAAATTCAAATGGAACTATGATTCATCAGCAAAAGTATGTGAAAAAGTTGCTTAAAAGGTTTAAAATGGAAGATTCCAAAGAAATTGACACTGCGATAGCAACAACCACAAAATTGGATGTAAATGAACCTGGTTCATCTGTTGATCAGAAGTTGTATAGGGAAATAATTGGCTCTTTGTTATATCTCACTGCTAGCAGACCTGACATTCTTTTCAGTGTAGGACTTTGTGCTAGATTTCAGGCAAATCCAAAGAAGTCTCATTTGATTATTGTCAAAAGAATCTTGAGATACCTAAAAGGCACCACTGACCTTTCTTTATGGTATCAAAAAGGTAGTAATTTCAACTTAATGGGATATGTTGATGCTGATTATGCAGGTTTTCTTGTGGATAGAAAGAGCACCTCAGGTATGATACACTTTCTTGGCTCATGTCTTGTGTCTTGGGTCACCAAAAAGCAAAATTATGTGGCCTTATCTACTGTTGAAGCTAAGTATGTTGCTGCTGCCTCATGTTGTGCTCAATTGTTGTGGATCAAAAAGTAATTAATGGACTTTGAATTTGATGTAGGTTATATCCCCATCTTTTGTGATAGCACCAGTGCAATTAGTATGAGCAAGAACCCGGTTCATCACAAAAGAACTAGGCACATAGATGTTAGACATCACTTTTTGAGGGACAACTATGAAAAGGGTTTGATCACTGTGGAATTTTGTACTACTGACAAACAAATAGCTGACATCTTCACAAAACCTCTAAGTATAGATCACTTTGAAAGGAACATGTTAGAATTAGGGATGATTAAGATCACCTAAAATGAACCAGTTCTAACTCATAAATTTTGGCTAGGAAATTTGTGAATTTTTGTACATAATTAGATTAGATTTTGCTAAATCTCATACTTTCATCAGTATACTCCTATGCCATGTGCTAAAATGTCTCATTAATCTCTAATGATATTATCTTTATTTTCTTGGAAAATTTAGACTTACACAAGAGATTTCTCAGTGAAGAACCTAGTTCATCAAGATTACATGGTACGTACTCTCCACCCTACATATTTTGAAATAATTATATTTGGATTATGATAAAAATGAGAGTCCCATTTAATCCTAACCTCCTTGAGCTTATCCCTTACAAAATGAACCAGTTTCATCCAAAAAGAGTCCCAAAATGCAATAAGTGCCTAGATTCTAGGGAGAGTCTTCAACGTTTCTTCAAACTGACTCCCAGTTTGATTAGACTTCTGAGCTTCTGAAAAAGCTATTGTTACCCAATTAAACTCTGTCTATTTATATTGATTAGACCTTAGTTGTTTCTTCACTTCTAAATTTTCAGCCGCCAAATAATTCTCTGTATCTTCTCTCATCTTCTAAACAAACACATACTCATCTTTTCTCACCCTCTAACCATCAATGGCTAACGAATTTGGAAATCCCTCATTACCGCCTAAAGAATCCACACCCACTCCTTCAACCACACCTCAACCGCACCTATCTCTGAGAAAGGAAGATTTAAGATGCTTGCTCGCAAAATAGTCGCTGGAGGAGAACAAATCAAGAAAATCAATGAGCAACTGAAGGCAAGTCAGCCAGATGAACCTAAAAAATCTGAAGATTCTTTCAAGTCTGCAACTGAGAGGGAAGAAACTGTTTCATCAGAACAGAGCAGGTAACATATGCTCCACAAATTACATTTGAAGTAATCTCTGAGGTTGCTGCAAATCTAGAAAATAGATTTGTTCTGGTAAAAACTGTGGCTGGGGTAGAGACCACTGAGTTTGGAAAAATTGGTGGTAAAAATAAAAAGAGAAAAGAAAAGGAGAATGAGGGTGTTCAAGATGATGTGAGGGGAACAGGACAAGGAGTGGCTGAATCTTCACCCACTCATGTTGGTTTGACTGAAGAAACAAGAGCTATGGTAGTATGGAGTGAGGAATCTACTGGAGAAGAAGAAAGTGTGAGAGAAAAAGGGGGGAGTGGGTCCGGAGAAGCTGCTGAAGGGTTGGTTAGGTTGAGGAAGAGATTTCAAGAACTTGTTCCATCTGTGCAGGAACCCCTCGAGGACCTACTGAGAAAAGTGTCTGACAGTTACAATCCTAAAAAGAAAAAGGGTTTAGGAGTTAAAGTCCCTGGTACTGCTAGGGCAAACAAGAAGAGAAAGACTGTCTTTTCTATCCATATAGAGACTCCTCCTACAAAAGGAAGAGCTATAAGGAGTCAGAAGAAGCAGAGTATGGCTGAACTGAAAAGGCCCTCGAAGAAAGTAAGAGAAAAGATGTTGCTAAGGGAAAGAAAAAGGTGGTTGAGCATGTTGAGGCAGTTGAAATTGAGGAGACCTGGTTCTTCATGATGAAGATGAGGCAGAAGAAATGGAGGTTGTGACTCCAAAGGCAAAGAAAATCAAGGCTTCCACAAAGAAGTCTGTTTCAAATACAAAGTATGCAGAGCCCTCTACCTTGGCTAAAAGAACCAGGTCTGCCTTGAAATCCAGAAAAGTAAAAATGGTGGAAGAAGAAAAAGAGAAGAATGATGGCATTTTTCATGATATGCTGAAACTGTTTCTAGCCAAGAACCAAGAACCTGGTCCTTCCCAGCCTTAAAACCTTCCTAGCTTAGTTAGACAAACAAGTGACCCGGATGAGATTTCTTTTTGACCTTTTTGCTCATGATCCAGTATTTTTATTTCTCTTTATGCTTTGTGAATGACTAGTATTAATGATAATCAACTATTTTTGTGCTCTAATTGTTTGTTGATGCTTCTTACTTGACTAATATCATTAGATTGATAAATGATGCCTGACTCCATGATTGCATTTGATTTAGCCCCAGTGGCCATGAGTAATTTCTATTAAAATCTAATTATCTAACATAATTATGCAACTTTTCGATGATGCCAAAAGGGGAAAGATAGGTTGTGTTTTTTACTGTGGACCGTGATATTTATAACCTAATGAACCTGGTTCTTGATGATTTGTGACTTTAAAATGGAAAAGGTGTTCTAACATTGTGTTGATGTTGAGCTGAGTTGACACATAGCCTATGCTTATGAAAAGCACAGAGTTTGTCATCATTAAAAATGGGGAATTTGTTGGCCCAAATGAAGTTTGTTTTGATGATTGACAAAGGAACTCAAGCATGAACCAAGTCCATATACAATGTACACAGACACGGGCAGATTCAAGCACAAGGCATGCACGTGAAGGAGATAAGCTTAAGTGGTTATATCTGATATCTTCTGAACAAAAATGTTGCATAAATGATAAGGAGAAAGACTCCTTACTCGAAGAGAACTTTATCCAAGATAAGGGGGGAGTTAGAAGTTGAAGATAACTAGAACTCTTCCACTAAGGAAGAGTAAAGTATTAGACTTCTAGCTATTTCCTATTCTACTAACTCTATATATTGCAGGATGTTCTCATTTTACATGGATGCACAAACGCTGAAGTTAAACTTGATTTGAGAGAAAAATAGCAAGGCAGTTTGCAAGCAATTCTTATGTGAGTCAAGTGTGCGAACCTGAAGCTACATGAACCTATTAGAAGAACCAGTTCCAAGTGTTTGTCTTTTATTCTAGTTTCATTGTAATATATGTTTTTAAATTGTACCTTTCAGCTTTATCTAGAGGCAATTGTATTAGGTACTTTGAGTATTCAAGTTAGAGTTAACTTGAAGTTGTCGCAACAGTTAGAGGCTGGTTGCCACAACGAGATTAGAGTTAATCCTTAGGTTTACAAAGAGTTTTGTAGCTGTTTTGGCTCAGTGATTTAGTGAAGTGTTGGGAAAAATCCTACAGAGTAGTAGGTCGTGGTTTTTTCACCTTTTGAGCCGGGTGTTTTCTACATAAAAATACTTGTGTTCTTTACTTTCTGTATTTACTATTTCTGCAACAGTAGTATAAAGAACACATAGAAGAATCAGGTCTTTCTATAATAGGTGCACGCGAAAATTGGCCACCACACAAATCACATCCCTCTTGTGTGGCATTGAAATATAAAACATCATGATCTTTTTACTATAGAAGGGGTAGTTTAAATCCAAACGTGTAGCTATAAGAAAAGTCCAATGTTAGTATTGCAAACATGGAAAAGAAGGACAAAGGGAGGGATAACATTCAACTTAGTTCAAAATTTCAAATGTACTTCTCTTCCCATGCAAAATGTTGTCCAAAGAGCATACTAGTTAATCGCCCATTTGGCATTGAAACTGTAGGAAAATAACATTTCCAGTCCTTACCATTACATAATCTCAAACTTTGGCGAGTAAACTCTATGCACAGAAAAGGAAAATAGAACATCAGCTTCAGAACCGTCTTTATCCTATCCAGACACGTAGTTAAACGGATGGGAATAGAATCAACGGATTCACTTCAAGGATGATCAAGTCATTGATGTAACTTAGAGATGAACTATTCATCTATGTAAGAACTCTTTTCTCTTGAAATATATTCTTGGTTAAAGAAACATTTTAGCTTTTTTGTCTAAAAAAAGTCATGGCTTTAGCCTCTCTCAATCATGTCTTGAAGCTTTTGATCATTGTGCTCCTTAAGAACCTTACTTCAGCTCAATTTCCTGATTATTACACGGCAAAAATCCCTACAACATGGATTAACAATAATGTTTCAGTTGTCAATGTTACAAAGCCCTTGACATACCCTTATTACTCATTCAATCAATCTTTTGGACCTTTCATGCGAATTCTGATGCTCAAAGAGATAGAGAAGGACATGGCTTATGCTTGTGGTTTTGCTTCAAACGGAGAAGATGATTCCTTTGTATTCTCCATAGGAATTGTACGTCTTCGTCAGGACTCTGTAGGAATCCGGCGCTGGTCTGACCTTGAACTAGTCTGGTTTGCAAAAAGAAACCATCCAATTCGCGAAAATGGGACGCTGCAATTGCTGCAAGATGGAGATTTAGTGTTAAAAGATGTGGATGGAACTCTTGTGTGGTCTACAAGCACGGCGAATAAGTTCGTCTCGGGCATTAAGATGATGGAGACTGGAAACCTTGTGCTTCATGACATGTATAATCAGACTGTGTGGCAGTCTTTTGATCATCCAACAGATACACTGCTTCCTGGCCAGAAATTAAGGGCTGGTCAAAGACTTGTTGCTAGAGTTTCTTCATCCAATTGGACTGAAGGTAACTTCTTTCTCTCTGTAACCAATCAAGGCTTGTTTGCATTTTACATATCGAACAAGCCACATATGTATTTCAAGTTTTTGGCCACTGGAGAAAGGGATAGCTTTAATGAAAGTTATGTAAAAGCAGTGAATGGTACTCTTGCCTTGTACATATCCTCAACTGAGCCAAATGAGCCAAATGCTGTGTTCTCAAGACCTTCTAGGATGAAATTTTTGAGATATGATTATGATGGACATTTACGATCATACGCTGAGGGAAGTGATCAGCAAACCGATATTTTGGCAGATTTCATCGGTGTTTGTGATTACCCTATAGCGTGTGGAAGTTTGGAGCTTTGCTCAAATGGATTTTGTTCTTGTCCTGGTCCATTCAAACAAAGTAATGATCGACAAAGCAATGGATGCGTGGAAGTAAGTCCTGTGGAATGCAATGGACGACGTTCCCACAAAATGATGCGTGTTTTGGACGTCTATTACTTTAACTATGTTGACATTGAAGCAGCAGCTCTGAGAGGAACAGATGTGGAAAGCTGCCAAGAGTTGTGCATGAGGAACTGCTCTTGTAAAGTAATTCTCTTCCATTATTTCACAAACTTTTCGAGGGGTGACTGCTTTTTACCCTCCCCTGTACTGACACTTATCAATGATGCAAAGAAAAGAAGTGGCTATGAGTCATCTGCATTCATCAAAATTCCAAATGACACAGAAAAAGATACAGACTCTTTAGCTGCAAGAAGAATTGGAATTATAGCTGGATCAACTGGTGGAGCATTTCTTCTAATAGCAATATGTGTTAGCATCTTGATTGCTTTCAAGAGAAAGCAAACATTACAAGAAAATAATGATGATTACTCGGACGAGATATCTGGCACTTTGAGATTTTCTTATGAACAGCTGAAGGTGGCAACAGGGAATTTCCAGCAAAAGCTTGGTCAGGGAGGCTTTGGCTCAGTTTATGAAGGAGTTCTTCAAGATGGTCAGAAAGTAGCCGTGAAAGTTCTTGACGGTTTTGGACAAGGGAAAAGAGAATTTTTGGCAGAGGTCCAAACCATAGGAAGCATACATCATGTTAATCTTGTTAGACTAATTGGAGTTTGTGCTGAGAAAGAGCACAAGCTATTAGTTTATGATTTCATGAGTAATGGATCATTGGATAAATGGATTTTTGACATAGGCTCTACACAGTTTACCTTTAATTGGCAAATAAGAAAGAGCATTATCCATGATATAGCAAAAGGATTGGCTTATCTTCATGAAGAATGCAGGCAAAGAATAGTCCACTTAGATGTTAAGCCGCAGAACATTCTGCTGGATGACAAGTTTTGTGCAAAGGTATCTGATTTTGGCCTGGCCAAATTGGTGGATAAAGATCAGAGCAGGATAGTGACAAGAATTAGGGGAACTCCCGGATACTTGGCTCCTGAATGGTTTAGCGCGTTCATTACAGAAAAAGCAGATGTCTACAGCTTTGGAGTTGTTGCGATGGAGATCCTCTGTGGGCGTAAGAATGTGGACTATTCACATTCACTGGAACATCCACATTTGCTTAGCCTGTTTATGGAAAAGGCTGAAAACAATCTGCTGATCGATATGATCGGAAACTACAACGATGATCTGCAGTGCAATACATCAGAAGTTGTCCGTATGATGAAGCTTGCTGTGTGGTGCTTACAAAGTGATTTTACTCTGAGGCCTTCCATGTCCATGGTGGTTAAAGTAATAGAGGGGACAATGGATATTGAAACTCAGTTAGACTATAGTGTTCCAAATTCACGAACAATTGCAGCTATCAAAAGAGTGGCAGACACTACAACTACCTTGTTTCCTTCAATTCTTTCAGGACCTAGGTAAGGATCTCTAAGCATGATCAAGCTGAAACATAGCAAAAATCCTCCCTCCTCAATCCTTTTCTTGTTTGATCCCTATGACCATCATTCTTACGTAGCTTATTTATTGGTTTCATTTGTTTTATTTGTCCGCGACTTAATGAGTTCTGCAATTGAGAACCATGGTGTAGCTTCCAGTGTAAAGTTTCTATAACAAAAAAGTGTAAACATCAAAAGGAAGCAGCTTCAGATGTCATGACTAAACAAAAGTTTTAGAGATAGGCTACTCCATAGATATTGATACTCTAATTAATTACAAATATGAAATCATTAAAAAGTTTTCATAACTTCCTACATCCAGTATAGTTTCTAGGTAAAATTATGTAAATAGAAGAGACATTAAATAGTTCCTGGAACAAAGTAAGATCAGTCAATATGGAGACAAGACCTTCACATCAGCTGTAGTTCAACAATATTGTCCTCCTCCTCCCTGCAGACAAAGCAACAATTTTGATTTGATAAGTAGATCACAATGTAAACATGTAGTAGAATTCATATTTTTTGTTTATGGAAACATAGAAGCAAACAGCATATACTAGGTCCACAATTGAAGATAAGTCTCCATCTCCTCATCTAAACCAGCAGCAGCTTTTGCAATCAAAGCTTCTCCTTCCATAGCAATCTTGCTTTCCACCATCTCCTCAATCTCAGCCCTAGCCTTCGATCGATTCAGTGCCTGCTCACTCTCTGCTCCTTCATTTTGAGACTCTGAATCATCTTCAAGCAGTTTTTCCCAGAACTCGCGATTCTTATCATTTTTAGCAGTTGCTTCTTCTTTCTGTTGTTCATTAGAACTTACTGAGCCACCAGCAGAGTTTGATGTCTGTCCAATCCCATCCTGGACAAAGTTAGCCACACGATCTGGCGACTCTACCGTTTGTGGCCTCTTTCTTGTGTCATTGCTGCTAGAATCTCCTCTCACTTTCGATTTCTCGAGAAATAGCTTCAAAATATTGCTAATTTCTGTATCCTTTCTGCATCCTTTCAAAGTAGGAAACAAAGCTCTCATGTTTTCTTGTCTATCTTTCAACTTCTGAAGTTCTATTTTCAGACTAATGTTATCATTCCTCAACTTCTCCAGCTCCTCTTCCAAATTATCCTTCATTGGATCAACACAAGGACTATGTGAACCTTGTTGTGGCTTAGTGGCTTTGGAAAGTTGAATCCTGCTTTTGATGTTCTTCAGCCAGTGCTTTTTCCCAGCTCGAAACCATGGATTCGCATACTCACTTTTGTAAGAACAGACCTTCCTGAAACCCTGAGTGAGATTCATTCTTTCTTGTCAAATCAAAAGTCCATATTTTAACTTCAAATCAAACAGGAAACAGAACAACAGCTTTCAAGAAATCAAAACTGGATTCACAAAAACACCACATGCATACTAGTTACAACGTTAAATTAAGACGAAAGGGTCTTAAGGTTTAGTGTTTAGAGATTCAAGCCACATAGATGTTGAGCTAGCAAAAAATGAGGGAGGGGATGGAAGAGAAGCCAAAATTTCAAGAAAACAATAAAAATGAGAAAAATAACATAGCAAACATATCAGAAACAGAAGTGGAAAATGCAGTAACAGTCATAGTTGTTGAGCTATAATAACAAAAAATAGGAACACAACAGAGACAACATACTAATAGAGAAGTTAAATTTGCAGAATACTCACATAGTTGTTGAGCTGGTAAATGAAGCTGGATAAATTGCTATGTTTGAAGTACTTTGGAAGAACTTCAATAGCAAACTTGTTAGTATCAGTAATAAGAAATGTGGTTTTGTTAGAAGTCCAATGTATGAAGGGATCAGTTTCAGGATCTTCCAACATTTCAAATGTCTTCAACAGAAAAGGTGGCGGAGAGACGCCCCGCAATCCGGTGAGTCTCCGTCGACCACCAACACCTCCTCCTCTTCTTCCTTCCGATCCAATAGCAGCACCATTTTCAGCATTTTCTTGATTGTTGTTCTCCATTTTTTGGTTGGTGCAATATGAGATTGTTTTTCTTTGAAACCTTTTGAGAGAATATGGAAGTAAGTGAAAGAATTGATCATGCATGAAAATGAAACATAACATATATATACTATTATGAAATCAAACGTTTTCACTTTTCAGGTACTTACAAATGCAGAGTATTGCATTAGAATCAAGACCATATGTTTTTTACTTTCCCATTTATTTTAGTGTTATATTAGTCACACACAACACCCACCTGATACGGAAGTACAACTCACTCTTTTTTTAAGCCAGCTGCTACTTATAGTTATGGATATTACCTCTAGTCCTCTATATTTCAATATCAAGCATCTAAACCCCAATTTTATGAGGACCCTATGCAAAAATGTTGCTATTGAATATCTTATTTCAATACATTATACAAGGGGTTTATGTGTTTGCTATTGAAATATATAGGGATATTTGTGTAAAATTTTGTGGATTTTAATTAGTGTTTGATTGATGTGTATATATATTAGTCTCTAAATACGTGCGTTGCACGCGAACCCCTATTAATCATTACAGGATTGCAATAGAACATATTACAAATTTACCACTGAGGCAATTGAAGTTACATTATGTCATGAGCATGATTCTACTTTAGTGGCTTAATACTTAAATTGAAATGTCATTTGAACCTGCAAAGGTATCAACAATTAAATCAAGTCAGTAAGATGTTATTTATAATCTTGACAATTTCATGTTATGAGTTATAAATATATTACTTCGTTTATCTCATATGCCATGATATTTTGATATATATTTCCTTCTACCCTTTTAGTTATTCTATCCCGAGCGAAATTGTATCGAAATTAATATTCCTCTTAATAGGATAACATAGTAGTATTGTTCAAATAAAAAAACTTGCTCCAAAAAATAAAGTCCAAGTTAGGATCTAATTATTTGTAAACATGTCAAACTTAATGGAGTATATGATAGACCAAGAGATGTAAAACGACACTTTATCATAAACTCTTTCAACCAACCAAAGATAAGTCATAAGCTGATCGCACAAAAATCCTACGAGGACCATGATAAGGTGACTCACAAGTCATAACTTAAGTCTAAGGGTGTGTTTGGTATGAAGAAAAATATTTTTTGGAAAATATTTTCTATTTTTTCATATTTGGTTGGCTTAAATGTTTTGAAAAATATTTTGCTCGTGAACTCATTTTTCTCCAATTGGAGGAAAATGTTTTTCCTATCAAGAGAAGAGAAAACATTTTCCAAAGCTCTTCTTCAACCTTCCCCACCCTATTCCTCATCCCCACCAACCCCCCATNATTTCAACAAAATGAATATATTTTTTTCATAATGTAGAAAAAGAATTTTCATTCATTTTAACAAAATGAATAATTTTTCATGTTGTAGAAAGAGTAATTTCTTTTTCAAACAAAAAAAGAGTATTTTCTTTTTAATTAGTTATGTAGCACAAATTTCAACGTTGTTTTTGAGTGAAAAAGTAAAGCAGCACATTAGTCTATTTTGGGTTTGTGTGAATTTTTAAAAGAATTTAAATTCTTGAAGAGAGTCCCACATCGGCAAAACACAAGAGGGATACTGAGTATATAAGTTAACAAGCTTTAGACCCTAGTGACGCATTTTAAACTCGTGAGGGCCCACACTACAAGAGAACACACATTTAGCTAGTAGCCAAAATTCTAGCTGACTTAGCAAGATCCCTAGCTAATATCGCTTTAGCTAGAAAAATGACCTTAGCTAATTCCGTAGCTAATAGGCTCTTAGCTAAAATTTTTGCTAGGAAGATGTGTTATCCGTAGCTAAATTAGCTACGGATATTTGCTTGGCACAAATCCCTTGCAAAATATTTGCTAGGATATGTGGTAGCTATATTCCAAGCAAAATTTGTTTGGTCAATGTTGACTTATTGAAACATAACTAGGCTATTAGCTAGGAACTTATCCCTTGCTAATATTTGCTACGACTAGACTAGCTAAATTTCAAGCAAAGTTTTTCTGTTTAGCGCTGATTTTATTAAAACTAGCTAGGTATATCCCTAGCTAAACTTACAAGTATTCTAGCATTTTCAACGTTTTGCTTGGAATGTTTCCAAGCTAAATTACTAGCTAAAAATACCTAGGAATTTTTGTCAAGATCATTCTGTAGCTAATTTGATAAATATTCTAGCCTATATTTGTGTTTGCTTGGGATATTTCCAGGCTAAATCTCACTAGGAATACTTCCTAGATTGCATATGATGAAATACAAATACAATTTCCTACATAATTCGACATAAGACAAAATAAATAATTAAATCCAATAATTTTTCACATAAACATAATCAGAGTATCATTAGTTCTAGAATGACAAAGTATATGCCTATTGGTAAATAAAATATGTCTTAGGTTAACAAATTAATAACATAAACTCTACTATTCTAAGATATGTTTGGGGAAGAACCAAAGCCATTTGGTGGTGGTTGAGTTAAACCAAGCATCTCACGCACGACAGCACGAGCCGCAACTTTTACTTCTTCTCGCATATCTTCCCGAATACCCGCTTGCATATCTGCCTGCATATTCTCCATCCGTTGCTCCAATGCACGATCAAGAAATTGCTGAAATTCGGGTGTTTTAAAAACTTGTTGGGTAGGAATATTTGGAGGATTAGGAGCACTAGAGGATGCACAATTAGCCTTCACTGAATCTGCCAGAAGACAAGTTTTTGGACCAAGTCCATATACTCTTCCTTTTTTTGCTCCTCCAACTGTTTCAATCCAAGTTTTCAGTAGTTGTTCATCTGGTATAGTTTTCAATATATCCACAACATTCTCTTTGCTAGTTTTTTCTCCTTCCTCATCTTCATTTGTTGCCATGTTTCTTTCCATGTCTGCATCATCTATTTCAAAACTTTCTTCATTCCTTGATGTTGAAGTTTCACCTAACTTCTCCTTAATAATCTCTATAAATGTATTCTGAAAAAAATTATAATTATTAGTTATCACATAGAATATCAAAGTCTCCAAGTAGCAAATCTTAATAGAGCAGTCACATTTGTTCTGTAATGAAAGAAATGAACAACAGAGAAATAGACTTCTGTAACTAAAGAAGTAGATGAAGAAA